AAGCCATTTCAAACTGCTTCAACACCTGAGTCATCTGAGGATGTGTAGACACAATCCTGCAGTCTAACACAAGCTTACATGTGTGCAAGTGATGCCTGGTTATGACAGTACACAAGAATGTAAGCCTGGATAAAGGCATATATATGTATGCCAAAAAATAAAGATGCTGCTTACTGTTATTGCTGATGTGAGCTCCACATGCTTTCTTTTCCTCTGGGGCTCTGACCCACAAAAATACCCCTTAACCCATAACAGCTCCCTTCTTCATCCCCAAACTTCTGCTTAGTTCCATATTCTCTAAAACCTGTGAGCTCTTGCTGACCCTTGCCTGCTTGCCTATCCCATATCCTCCTTTTCTTTCTCATGTAGCCTGTGACCTCAGACAGGGCAATAATCATGTCCTCCATTTATTGTAACCTCCTTTTATCTTAAATGATGAATAAATGAATCAGTTCTCCTTAGAGTGCAGCTTTTCCCTGTGCCTGTACTTCCAGTCAATAGCACGCATCTCTGGGAACTCATTGTATGGTGTTACTACACTGTCTTGCACTGCAGTTGGCAGTGTGCTTGAGCTGCTAAAGGGAATTGAATTATAAGAACCAAACAGTCCTTTGGACAGTGACTATATACCTAGTTAAGAAAAGAGACCTTGGGTCCAGGGATTTAGCTCAGTGGCATAAGTGCCTGCCTCACAAGTGTGCAGTTGTGAGTTTGATCACAGGTACAGAAAGAAAAAGAAAGAAAGAAAGAAAGAAAGAAAGAAAGAAAGAAAGAAAGAAAGAAAGAAAGAAAGAAAGAAAGAAAGAAAGAAAAGAAAAGAAAAGATTAGACATTTCAAACCCCAAACTCCATAATGGTTGGGATCTAATAGTGGATGAGGAAGTCATTCTATGCTAGCCATTTGCTACCAGCAAATTTTAGTGAGTGCAGTAGGATAAAACAGGAGACATTAGAATGAATTGGATGCAATGCAGTGGAGAGTTACTTGATTGAACAAATTACTGGACTCATTCTTGATTCTGTAGAACTGGAGTGGAGACCAAGACTTTCCATTTCAAATTGTGTGTGTGTGTATGTGTGTGTGTGTGTGTGTGTGTGTGTGTGTGTGTGTGTGTACTGGTGTGCATATATGTGCATGCATTTGAACAGGATCACTTATCAAATGCATTTCTTATTGAAGGCATCAGTCAGAACAATTGGAGAAACATTGCCCTGCTTCATAAAGAATCACATCTAAGGGACATATTTTTACAATTTTTCGAATGCTCTGTAATATTTTATGACACAATATTTTCACATCCTCTTAAAATAGGTGGAATATGTGATAAATTTGTCATGATAGGAGGGCCCAGGGTAATGAACAGATTTTTGATGAGCAAACTGTTTGACTTAACATAGGCATACAGGTAAGATGGTAATTGATTCAAAAGCAGAATCCAGTTGTAATTTCTATACTAATTAAATGAATGATTTCTAAACCTCTCAGAGTTTTTCATAAAGGTTGTCAAAAATTTTTCTAAAGGTTTTTAAAATTTTTAAAGAACTGCACATTAATTCCGGTTGCCTTTATATTGTAAATCTGCCATGAGACGGTCATGGTCTAACAAAAAACAGCAGCAAAAAAGGTGAAAATGATTAATAAATGCAGAATGAGTGCTATTAGACAGTCATCATCTCATTCTCTCCAAGAGGATACCAGGTCTAGACCCACAGTGGCAAACCTCTGGCACAGGTGCTGCAGGTGGCTGTTCGTCATTGCTGAAAGCTCACAGATCTGCCCTCACTGATTTAGACAGTGATCAGCACTAGATGGTAAAACCATGCAGTAAAACAGGCCTCTGACTGTCAACTTCCACATTACTAACCATGAATCAAAAGGTCTTACTACTTCATAATTAATACAGCAGGACAAAAAGGACAAGGCCACCTGTGAAATATTCTTGGCCAAACAAAATTTAACCTGAACATAGTCAAGGTCCTCAACTTACACAGGAAGGATGGAGGCTAATTGAAGAAGGAAACTTGCAACAGAATGTGGCAATCAGCCAAGCCTACAGTACTCTACAATACTCAGCAACAGCAGCACGCAAACAGCCTGAATGGCTTATTCCAACAGAAAACCGGTCAGGTGTGGTGCACACTGGTAATCCCAGCACTCTAGGAGGCTGAGGTAGGAAGATCACAAGTCTGAGCCCAGTCTGTGCAACTTAACAACTTACAGAGAAACTGTGTCAACATAAAAATGAAAAAAAAAAAAAAGAGCTAAGGTTATAGCTCAGTGTGAATGCCCTGAGTTCAGCCAGCAGTGTCACAAAAACAAAATCAAAAAGCCATGGAGCTCACTCTCAAAGCCTCTGCCTCAGTAGGGTTGGATGTAACATAAGAAGCAAATTTGCATTTCTAACAATTCCTAGGAGATACTGAAACTGCTGGCCCGGGGACTACACTTTGAAAAATCCTGGTTTACAGGACCAACAATCTGCTTATCCAGTGACTGAGGCACTGAACGGGTTGGAAACAAATTTTAAAGGTATACAAAGCTACTCCAATGTGTAGGCTTTTCTGATTCTTAGTTTGAACCAACCAATAAGGAAATATTTGAAACAACTGAGGAAATCTAAATATGGACTGAATGTGGGATGAAGTTAATAGGTTACACTGAGTTCTGCTGCGGGCAGTGATTTCATGATTATGTCACACACTTTTAAATTAAAAATTCATGCAAAATGGCTGGGAATTTAGCTCAGTGGTGTACGCACGTGCCTGGCAAGTGCAAGGTTGTGAGTTCGATCCCTGGTACCAAAAAAAAAAAAAAAAAAAAATTCATGCAAAAATATTTTGGTCAAGTGACAGTGTTTCTAGCAGTGGATGACAGGATTATCCAGTTATTGATAATTGTTGAAAGCTGGCAATATTTATTTGTTGACTTCTTATGTTAGTCTCTTTGCTTTGGGGCATGTTAGGAAGTTTTCCTATAAAGAATTTTTGAAAGAAATTATCATTGCTTGCCCCAGAATTGCTTCTTTGCATTAGACAAAATGATACCTTTCTCGTCTGAAGGTCAATCTTCCAGTAGCCTGCACTAGCCCTTCAAAGCACAAAAACCCAACACTGAGAAATAAGGATGTTACCTTTATATTCCAGAACTAGTTGTAACAAAACTATCCTGAAGCCATGAATCTTACCTCCTACGGTGTCATTCAGACTTAACATTTCTGCCTTATAAATTTGCATTTTGCATTTCTCATTCTGATCTCATAAAGGAAGAATGAGTTAAGTGGATATAGTGACAGCAGGAAAAATGACATCGCACAACTTGACATTTAAAGAACAAAATAATTACAAAAGAATTGGATCATCCCACACAATAAATTATTGACTAGCTCATCAATAATAAAGTGTTAGCATTTAGAGACCATTTACATGTGAGTTACCATCTGATTCTCTTATTTACATTGTTATTTATCTACATGTCAACCCTCAGAGTTGGCACCATTGTAAACTATACAGAAAAGGGCACTGGATTTGAAGAAGCTAAGCAGCTCGCCTGAGGACACACAGCAGAGCGTTGTGGCTTTAGCCACTTTCTCTAGTGCCTTGTTAATAAATGTCAAACAGTGTCCCATGTCTTCTATTTAAGATGGGTTTTGGAGTTAAACGCAACTATAGAAAACAGTTTAGCAATTGTTTTCTATTGAAACATGTTTTGCAAAGTCTTTAAGGTACATAAAGGGATACATTAGCTATTTAGAGACCTCCCTAAAGCCTGCTATGGGAAGAAAAAAACATGGATTTTGGAATTACAGAGACTTGGTTCAGTATCTAGGTGCATCATGAAGCATCCATGGGTTCTTAGACAAATTATTTGGTTTCTATGATCCTTGGGTTTCTCAGTTTAAAATGAAAATAGTAAATTGAAAATTCTTATGAGATTCAAATGAGTGAATAATATAGAATTAAATATGTCCCTTGACATGGAAAAGCTGCTTGGCTTAGTTACTTTTTTCATTGCTAGCACAAAATACCCAAATCCCCCAAATTAAAGGAGGAAAAGTTTATTTTAGCTCACAGTTTATAATGGTTTCAGTCTGTAGTAAACTGTTTCCAAAGCAGAATGGCACAGCAGATGTACACAGCAGAGAGGAAACAGTCCATGGCATGACTGACAGGAAACAGACTTCTTTCCCTTTTGTTCCACCAGGGTACAAGCCTATTGTTTGGTGCCATCCACACCCAGAGCTATGATAAGCCAATCAGCGGACTAATCCAGCATCTCACACTCATGATCCAGTCACCTCCCCAGAACCCCACCTATAAATTTATGAAATTTTGAGGGGACATTCAGATATATGCCATAACATTTGTGGTCAAACCTGTAAATGTGAAATTACAATTAAAGACTAGGTATATACCAAAGGGATTACTTATAAATTACAGTAGATCTTTATGAGTCAAGCCTTCATAATAGACACTTGTTACTAACTCTGTGTCATCATTGATTAAAACTTAGTCAGCTCTCTTTCCCTCCATTCAGAGGTACACACACCAGGCTTCCTCCCAGGTCCATCTGCTCTGTCCTCAGTTGAAAAGAAGTGGATCTTGGAACTTTGGATCTGTAATATAAATTCACCTTTTGGTAGATCTTTCAAATCAGTGCTAAAAGGGCTCAGCAGGATCTGCACATGCACAGGTAGGTTGAAAGAACAATTGGACACACTGACCAGGCTGACCTGAGCATGGCAGCAGGTGAGTAGTGAAAGTCCCTCTGCACTTGGTGCACTGCAGGGTACCACCTGGCAAATGGACCCACAACTGGATGAACCAGGCTTCATGGACATTGGAATTCATATCTTTAAATATGACATTATAAGCCAGATCTGACTTTAAGATTTATATATTTAAAAAATGATGGCATTGTATAATGCCCTAAATAGTGACTTAATGATGGAATAGATAGAATGTTATTTTTATATGGGCAGAAAAGAACTTAGAAGAATTCTGTTCACTTAGGCAGCACATACACTAAAATTTGAATGATACAGAAAAGATTAGCATGGCCCCTGTACAAAGATGACATACAAATTCATGAAGTATATCATATTTTTAAAACAAACATTGTGAAAATGGCCATTCTCCCAAAATTGTCATACAGATTTAATAGAATTCCAATCAAAATACCATTTGCATACATCACAGATTTAGAGAAATCATTCCTAAAATTCATCTGGAACCAGAAGAGACCTACAATAGCAAAGTCCATTCTGAGCAACAAAGGCCAGGTAGGGGCATCATAATCCTTGACTTGAAGCTATACTACAAAGCCACTGTGATAAAATCAACATGATACATGTGATAAAGGCAGACCTGAAGATCAATGGAATAAATAAGAAGATACAACCACAACTACAAACATACTTAGCCACCTCATCTTTGATGAAGGAGCCAATCAAACCAATAGCATGTTTAGTAAGTGGTTCTGGGAAAACTGGTTTTCCATTTGCCAAAAACTAAAAACTAGACTCATGTCTATCACTATGTACTAAACTAAAGTCAAAATGGATCAAAGATTAAAACAGAAACACTAGATCTTCTGGAAGACAAAGTAGGTAGAAACCTTGAAGACACAGGAGTAGGCAGAGAATTCATGAACAAAAACTCAAACTGCACATGAAATACTTCCCAGAATCAACAAGTAGAATCTCATCTTATTAAAATGCTTTGTGTGTCAAAGGAAATCTCCAACAGAGTGAAAAAAAAAACCCATGAAATGGAAAAAGATCTTAGTCAGCTGTGCCTCAAATAAAGGATTTCTATCTAGAACACATAAAGAATTTTTAAAAATCAGCCCCCCCCCCAATTCAAAGACCCAACCCAAAAATGGGCACCTAACATGAATACATGCTTCTCAGATAAAGACATACAAATAGAAAATAAATATATGAGAAAATGTTCAACACCATTGGTCATTCGAAAAGTGCAAATTAAAACAACACTGAAATTCCATCTCACTCCAGAAAAAATGACCAGGATCAAGAAAACAACCACTAACAAATGCTGGAGAGGCTGTGGGGAGAAAGGAACTCTTCTACACTGTTGGTGGTAGTGTAGACTGGTGCAACCACTGTGGAAATCAGTGTGGAGGTTCCTCAAAAACCTGGAATTGGAGGTCCCATTTGACCCAGCTATCCCACTTCTGGGCATTTTCCCAGAAGAACTGAAAACATCATACCACAGTGATACATGTGCACTCATATTTACAGCAGAACAATTTGTAATAGCCAAATCTTGGAAACAACCGAAATACCCATCAACTGAAGAATGGATAGAAAAAGATGTGCTATTTTTATACAGTGGAGTACTACTCAGCTATAGAGAAGGATCACCTTGAGGCTTTTATAGGTAAATGAATATGACTTGAGACCATATTCATAAGTGAAGTGAATCAATTCACATGTGTAAATGCCGTAGTCTCCCTAGTATAAGAAACTGAAACAGTAAATAAGATCCAAAATCTTCAATAAAAATTGTGAAAGGGTAAAAAACTGCTCAAAGGGTAAAAATAACTCAGATGGGGAAAAGGAAAAAGATATAAATTTGTATATATACACTTAAAATAGCTAAAATGATTGTACTAATTTTATTAATTCTTGGGACAAAACAGTTAACACTCACAGGATTAAATCAATTTTGCAGGTCTATATCTGGTAACTCTTGAAGATAACTATGCAAAATAACCTTTGTCAAGTTCCTACCACCTTGTTTTGAAAGCCTAAATTGTTATTATTTTGAGTTTTTTATTTTTATTGTCTCTTTTGTTTCTTCTTTGTCTTGTATTTATTTTGTCATTCCCATCTTTAAAAGAAAAAAAAAAGAACTTGTAAGAATCTAAATCTTTCATCAGTTAAGAAAATTAATAAAATGTGAAATATTCTTAGGATAGAATACAATAGCTGTACAAAAGAATAAATTGTATCCAAATTGATCAGCATAGAGCCATAGCAGCCAAAAATAGAACTGAAACAAGATGTGAATATGTTCCATATGTAATCTATGTTAATTTTAAAATAGAAAACATAGGTTTTATATTAGTATCTATGTAACATACAAATAGACTGAAGGTTATATGACAGACTTATAAAAACAGTCGCATCTGAGGAAAAGGCAGGAGAATGAGCCTGAATTTGCAGGTCAAAAATGAGCTCAACTTTACATATGCTTTAAGTACTGTATTTTATTTTAAGGAGATCAGTTAGAAATGAATAGAGTCTGGAAAACTAAAAACAAAAAATTTGCACATAAATACTCTGCTTCTGTTAGTGAAAATCCTTCCCCACCAAGGCAGAGGCTAGCAGTTCTCATAGTGCCATTCAGAAAGTGAATAAAAGGCAAATAGTAGGACCCAAGTTTCCCTCCACTGTAGTTGGAATACGCAGATCAGCAAGAAAAGGAAGCTAGAATGATCTGTGTGGCAGTTGAACTGAGTTTGACATATTCGTTCATGAAGAATTCATGTTTAACTTAATATACAAGGGATGACTGGAAGATATCATGAATGTTCACATAAAAAAAAAAAACCTCCGGTAAAAGACACATTGCCAAGAACAACAATGGTAAGTGCATTCAAAGCTAAGGGGAGAATTTTGAGTAATTTTTTTTAATTTTATTTAAGGAGAAAAAAAAGCAGAGAAAGGGTACAAGTTATACAGATTTACAGAAAAAAATAAACAGGAAATCACTAGTTAATGGATTACATATTGTCATCTTAGAAATAATTGTTCAAGTCACAAAATTAAAGCTTGTAAAGTGGACATTCCAACAGTGAGACTGCAAACAGTTCTGTTCAATGATCCAACAAAACTCAGTGATATCATTATCTATCTTATACACTTAAATATACATGCAGTTATATCGTTTAGAGCACTTTCTTTTCCTCTCTTTTGTACAATGACAATTACACATTTTGGGTTTTGTTGCTCCCACTGTTCTTATTACTTTTTTGGAAGGGAGTAGAACCAAATGTGACCTAACAGAACAGAGTCAATCAAATCAAAAGGGTGGACATAATAAATAATGTAAAAGCATAATACAAGGTGATCAACAATGGTTACCATAATGCTGCTATCTCTAATAGAATTGCCTATATCATCAGTTATAATAAAATTGAACAAAACAGTAAAGAACAAAACCGACAAAACCAAAACATTGGAGACATTGCAAAAGTAGATAATAGTCAACAAGAATGGGCGTCATAATGAATCTCACTATCTTCACAGCTGTTGCCTAAACTTTCGAACCTGGTACTATCAAGCAAAACAGAATAGGGGGACATCAGTCAAAAACAAGATGGTGAGAGTAATACAGGGCTTTAATTCAAGATAATGGAAAGTCAAAGTGGGTTACTATAATATATCCTGCTATTTTTTATTTATTTTTCCCTTAATTTTGAGTAATTTGAGGGGAATTAATGGCAATGTGTCTTTTACTGTAATAAATTTTGCATTTTAAATATTCACTACATGATCATATCATGTTAATCAAATGCTTACAAAATTTTATTAAATAAAGACATTACACTGTGTCTTCTACCATAGTCACTGTCTCTGGCACCACCCAACTTCTGACTCTTTGCCAAGGTCACACTGACCATGAAAGGTAAAACTTGACTCACTGCAGGACACCAAAGCAGCCACGAGAGCACAACTCAACAAAAAGAGGTCTCCAGGCTGCTTCAGAAAGAGGCAAGACCGATGAGCTACACGGAGTGTTGGAAACAAGGAGGGAGTATTTTGAGGGAAATCAATGGTAATACATCTTTTGCTCTAATAAAATTTTTGAAAATTAAACATTCACCATATTTTAGCACGTTTTACACATTAAGCTTAAGACTAATGATTTAATATAGAACACAGATGGATATATCTACAGATGTATTTATAGGTTTTTATGAATACACAGATTAGCATATGCACATAAGAGTCTCTGCTGTGTCATCTGAGAAAAGCCTAAAAGGAAAAAAACTGTAGTAGCAATATGCACAACTCGCATCCAAGTACTTTGTCGTACCATTTTCCAATAAAAGGAACCAGGTTCCTTGAAGGTATGATGGGCTGGGAGTGAAGCACTGTGGTCCCATAAAATACAAGTTCTTTAAAAAACTGAACTTGTCAAAGGGATTCAGGAGCAAAATGAGCTCTCAGTGATTAAAGTTTACCACCAAAAACAAAGTAGAATTAGAATGATGACATATAGAAAGAATATCAATGAGTTAATGCTAATACAAATAAATGACTAAATGAATAAAATAAGAGACAAATCTGCTGTGCAGAACAACTACAGAGTATGTGAATTATATAATGTAGATACTTTGCCCTAAAGGTGGAGCCATAGCTCCCACCTGTTAAAAGGGTGGGCTGTGCATAATGACTTCCTGCCAGTGACCCCAGTATGACATGGCAGCTAGGGAGGAAAGGAAGTACATTAGAGCAGAGAAAGCCAGTCCACACTGAGTCAGCAGGTGATCAAAGTCAGTATCAGCACATAGAGTTACCTTGAAGGTAAGTAGCTTTGGTATGATGAAAAAATGCCACTTTACTTCTCTGATCTTCTTCCCCAAAACCAGTTAACTCCAGTTCAACAATGAGAAAAAATATTAGGCAAATTCCAGTAGAAAATAATCCTGAAAATTATGTGACCACTATTCTTCAAAACAAGCAAAGTCATCAAAACTAGCCTGAGAAAATGTCACAGCCAAGAGAAGTATAGAAAAATGACAAGCAAATGGAATGTAGTATGCTGGATCAGTCTTGGGGCAGGAGAGGAACATTAAGTAAAAAAAGCTAAGGAAATAAGAATAAACTACCGTGAGCATCAGTTCATAAAAATATTGTATCATTAATATTAACTCATTAATTAAAACTGCTGTACAATACTAACGTAAGATAATAGAAATGGGGAACGCTATTAGATGAGTAGTATATGCGAACTTTTATATACTACTTACCAAATTGTGCATCTAAAGCTATTATTAAAACCTTGCTTACTAGTTTAAAAATAAGCCCTTGAAAATATGATCAAATGTTAAACTTTCAACCTGCGCTGTGGAAAC